ATGACTCATTTAATCATCCAAAACGTTATGGAACACATTAATTAACTGAAAAATGTTGCATAGTGTGCCTTTAAAATGGTTGGCATTTCATTTCATTTTACTTTCCCCCCGCCTGCCCCGGTGAGGGGAAGCATGGTAAGGCAAAAATATACAAAGGCTTGAAATGGAATAAAAATGTGTGCGCCCCATCTGGCTAAAGTAGTGGAACAATTTAACATAGATTTGGAGTCAGTGGCTCACATGACTTGGAAGCTATTAAACAAAAATCCCAAATTTTGACTTTAAAAATATCTTAAAATTTGAAAATAGCTTAAAATTGCATAAAAGCAAGAGTTTCATGTTATCTATTGGCATAAATTTAGGTTAGTTTCATCTTAGTTGGTCATAAATTAGAAATTTAGAAGTTTGATTTCTGTTTCTCGAGATTGTTTGGTTTAAAGATTTGTTGATGGTCCCTGAATGAACCACCGCATGTGGGAATAGGGAGCAGCTGAGAGACACTGGCCAACATCGGAGTCCCTCAGTGGATACACTGTTTGCTAGATCCCGCTGACTCCGCGGAGCTTGAATATCCAATATCCAGTAGTAGTCGATTTAAATTCCGGACAATTTTGAAATTCCCCCAGACATTTTTTCAGGTACATGTCAGAGAAAAAGAGGATGTCTGGTCACCCTAAAGGAGTGCTACCGCAGGTCATTCATCCCTGCTGATACCAGACTCTATAATGCAACACTACAATGACAATAACTTGTGCAATGTATGATGTGCAATTACAATTTCATACCCTGTGCAATAACCTGTTTCTCTAAATTTGACACCCTGTGCAATAACTATATATATAAATATAAATATCAGTCTAAATAAATACCTATGTAAACACCATATGCAATAATAACCCTGCATAATAGTCCTACTAAAAAAAACTCAGCTGAGCAACTGTCTTATATGGGTGCACTGTATATATTGTATATCCCACACCTTTTTCATCTTTTGGCACATTCTTCTTCTTCGACCGTTTGAGCTGATGTAACAAGTACATTTCTCCACTGTAAGATCAATAATGTCAATCAATCAATAAATAAATTAATATATCAAAAGAATAGAATATATATCAATCACTGGATTCTTCCTAAATGATTCAGACCAGGATTATGCCCCTTAAATAGATTAAATCGATGTTAAAGTTTTTCACAAATTTTTACCGGGTCATGGTCAAGCTTGAAAAGTTTAGTTTAGACAACTGGATGTAAAGATTTCTGGAAGATGTTTATCTCTCATCCATAATCTGGTGCAGGAGAGAATTTCCTCTCAGTGCTACTAGTTAAAACTAAGGAAGCCTCTTGGATGAGAGGTCTTCTAGAAAACTTCACGTCCAGTTTCCTAGACTGAAATTAGTGTTAATAGTTTTTAAAGTAGCTGTTAAATATCTGATGTCTATTTGAGCATAACAGGGAATAACATATTCAGCATTTGAAACTCAGCTGAGCAACTTTTTCAAATCCACTCAGTTGCGTAATCTTATTACGGGTTAACAGACAGTGTGCAGTTCAAAGTGCAGCCGTGATTTCATTATGGGTGTAACCGCTAATGCTCCCTGAGGAAAGCAGGTAAAACCACTTGTTTTCTTCCGAAGAGAAACTCACACAGTTGTTTTCACTGAGAGCTGAAATGGAGCAGAGAAGAGCTGACCTAGACCAAGGTAACATCTCCTGTTTAATCTGTTTAGATCCAGTGATCGAGCCTTTGACTATTCCCTGTGGACACAGCTACTGTAAGAACTGTATTAAAGACCAGGGGGACGGAGAAGATCAGAGGAGGATCTACAGCTGCCCTGAATGTAGGAAAGAGTTCACACCGAGGCCTGTATTGGATATTGAGGATATGAAAACAGGCCTCCAGGCTGCTCCAGATGATAACTGCTATGCTGGACCTGAGAAGCTCCAGGAGAACATCTGCTCTCATCATTCATCACCTCATTATGATGAGGTGATGAAGATCTTCTGTCATACTGATCAGCAGTGTATCTGTTATCTATGCACCATGGATGAACATAAAGGCCATGAAACAGTCCCAGCTGCAGCAGAAAGGACTGAGAAGCAGAAGGAGCTCCAGGAGAGACGACAACAAATCCAGCAGAGAATCCAGGACCAGGAGAAAGATGTGAAGCTGCTTCAACAGGAGGTGGAGGCCTTCAATGGCTCTGCGTATA